CTCAGGCAGTGCCCGAGTTTCCAAATGGTCAGTCCGCCCCTGTTCAGGCCAGATGTCAGCAACCATAGGCAGATAGCAGGGGAACAGGCAGAGGCATAGTCAGGGTAAGCTGGGTCGGTGCAGGCGGAGTTCAAGTGAAGTCAAGACAGGTAAGGTCAGCAACAGGATCAGGATACAACAGACAGCAGACAATGGAACGTTGTACACCAGAAGGCAAGGACTCCCAGTGCAGTAGTGGTTTAAATAGCCCGCCTGGCGCTAGTCTGGTGGCAGGTGTGCACGCCAGCGATCACGCATGCACACAGCCACAGCTGATAGGTAATTGGCACTGGCACATAAATGTGCGCCTGGACATTCTCTGTTTTCCCTGACAACGGCTGATAGGTAATAGGCATTGGCGCATAAATGTGCAGCTAGGCATTCTCTGTTTTCCCTGACATCACGTATATATATGTGATTTTGTGCACAGAGTCCACCCTGTAGCATTAAAACTGCTTCAGGGTAGAGGAAAACTGGTTAAAGTTTGATTTTCACCCTACATAAAGAAAATCAATATAAGATAATTTTTCATTGGTACAGAAAACTAGAGTTTCTTTGTAACATGCATCCATTAACCATACATAGATGCTGGCACTGCAAAAAAGATCTTGGTTCCCTGCAACACTTCCCACTGATTAAACTATACTGAGATACTGTACATGTCTTGATTTACAGTGTGTATGGCATCTGAATTTCCTGCTCCCTCAATGCCAACCTTTTGGCACTACCCAAAAGAGTTTTTCCAAGCCATCTAAAAAACATATTTTATAGTGGTACGATGCACTGTGGTCCTGAAATGGAAATGCACAAAAACCATCTGGAGCTCTTTATGAGCCTATGATGACCAGTTGCAACAGGAGAGAGTACATTATGGGCAACACAGTGGCTAAATGGTTAGCACTTCTGCCTGGCAGTATTAGAGATGCTGGTTCAAATCCCAACCCTGGCACCACCTGCTGGAGTTTGCATGTTCTCCCTGTGACTGTGTGGGTTTCCTCCGGGTACTCCAGTTTCCTCCCACACTCCAAAGACATGTTGGTAGGTTAATTGGCTCCTGTCTAAATTGGCCCTAGTATGTATATGTATGAATGTAAGTTAGAGACTTTAGATTGTATGCTCCTTGAGGGTTAGGGACTGATGTGAATGTACAATATATATGTATGTAAAGCGCTATGTAAATTGACAGCGCTATATAAGTACCTGAAATAAATAAATACTGCACATTTTGCAGGACAGTGATCCCTCCCATTGTACTAGGGGGCACTGGCCCCAGTGTCTGCTTGATCTATGCAATAAACTCAGGACAGAACCATTACAGGCTGCAGAGGATTTTACAACGCTTCTTTTAAATGTGGTTCTGGACTGCATTCCTTAAATAAAAAGGGAGTCCCTGCTGGAGGGTAGGTTTAGCACCCTATGCTCCTATACACATATGGAATGGCATAGCATGCTTTTGGTAAAAATGCACATACACTTTAACTGTAAGGAAAAATGAACCATTTATATATCTATTGAAACATACATAGAAATTGCTAATGTATACTTTTGTAAAGCAAATACAATTTAGTGCAAAGAAATGTTCTAAAAGCACACAGACATTTTAAAGTAGAGTAGAAGCAATAAACAAACATTTTTGGCAGCTAATAGTCTCCAAGTGAGATACTGTATATTCTGTTGCTGCCAAGAAAGCATTGTGTCTTGCTTCTAGAAGCTGCTGACTCTACAAACAGAATCGATAGTGCAGTTAAATACCACCTGTGTTCCTGACCTTTAGTAGATGGGTGATGAGGAGTCTATAAAGACTTCCTCTTTTACATTTTCTGGGAACCATACATTTCTGAATAGGTGTTGACAATGAAAAAATATTTATGAGAAGACATTCACAGAATAGGAATTGTGTATTTACCGCACCCTCTTTTTATCCTGTGTAGAAGGGCCTTGTCTTAAGTCCCTGTTGCAGATCTTCCCTCATGTCATGTCTGCTGAAATTGTTGTCACTCAGAGTAGCAAGTGTCCTGATGATATCTGTCAGTAACAAAATTGACATGTTCTAATTCCTACTCGACTTATAAGAACAAATTTTAAAAACGATACAAGCAAAAATGACAGGACAAACTATCATACCAGGCTCCTTACAACAGTCATCTTTTATTTATGCAGTTTAAAACTCTTTAAAAAAATACATGTCCATCTACTGGCAGAAAACAGATCAAAAAACTATATTACAGGGAGACTCAGAATAAACAAAACTGCTCTGTTAATACAAGTGACAGATTGCATTATACATGCAATACATGTGTGTACTTTTCTTTGTTCTATGTGTTCGAATGCAGTAGTGGAGAAGCCAAAAAAAGGTAGTTATCAGCTGCTGGTAAGCCATCAATAAATCAAAGTGTTAATTTGCATACAAATCTAGAAAAATTTTCAGCAAGTAAATAACTATGGGTTGTTGTATTTGCATCTATTATTGCACTGCTATACTAAAAAGCAAGTGTTTTTCTTTAGTTGAGCTGTCTTTTTAGCCTGTATAAGAGACATCTCATAAATGTCCAAAACCAAGGTGTTCCAAAACCAAAGTGGTTAAAAGGCATACCTCCTTCCCATTTTTGCCGTGCCCTTTTTCCATTGGTGCCTCCCCACTATTGCCCCTAGTTATATTTGGTGAATATCTCTGCATCTGTAAAATGTTTTGTGTCTATCTTTAACTGCATAAAAAGCTACTTTTTTTCCCTTTACAAGCATTTTCCAATTTTTTCAAAAGAAAAAGAATACGATGCTTACTGTCAGCAGCAAAGATGTAATGAACTGATTCTAACAATTTTTATGTTACATTTTTGTATTATTTCTACATTACTTCAGTTACATATTAGCTATCCAGCTGTATATAGAACATAGCTGCAGGAATGCAGTCTGATGTTTCAAGCACACAAGAAAATGTAATGGAAACAAAAAAAAACACACACATATAGTTAAATTAGATGCAAAATGTTCAGTCTCACACACTGACACGTAAGCCGCAAAGTGCAGATAGAAGCAAAAATCATTATTTGGGGTGAGATGGGTTAGCAGCTGACACAAGAAACTCGTCTGCATTTAATGTATGTTGTAAACACACTGAGCAATTTGCATCTCATTTCACCATAATGACTGTATTTATTCCTATTTTGTGTTTTCCAGAAGGTGGGCCCTGCCATATCGACCCAAGCTGGTAGCCTTTTGCATTTTCTTGTTATTTAATGATATATTCATTGCCTTCGGAGTTGAAAAAAGTATTGATTTTTTTTGTGGTGCTATTTTTAATATTTCATACCTACATTGTGAAGCATTTTATGCCTAGGGATGTTATCCAAAGTAACTTTTCTTTACACTACAAGTAAGAGAGATTTTTAAAACAAATGCCTTTGATGCTGCGATCTGCACAAAGAGAATTATGTAGGCTGCATCTGCTCATCTCTCCTTCTAAAAATGATGGTCTCCTGAATATTTGTTGGTCATCCTTACTTTCTGAGTCAGTGACCTTTGAACATACAGGTGAGGAGTTGTGACTTTACATACTGTATACTTGTTTTAGGTTAGTGACTATTAACTGGACAGCCATGTAAGGAGGTGGGACCTACTTTAATGTTGTTGGATCTGCAGGTGTGTAAGATGTTGGTGAAAGATTTCTAATCCCCTCTGCCATCCTAGCGGAAAATGCTTTGGAGTGGTCCCTGTTTTTATTGCGCTTCGTCTTAGCAATGTAGCACTCACCCCTGTAGGACCATTGGAAATAGCTCAGGCCTCCCTTACCTATTCAGAGGCTGCCAGGCCCAGGTAGCAGTTCCAGAGCATACCGACAAACACAGGCTCAGTCCAAGGGATGTTTATTTGTAGATGTATTGCAGTAACTGAACAGGAGAGAGGAATGAGGGTGCAGGATACTCCAAAGATGCCAGCTGGTACAGGAGGACACATTCTCAAGCAGAAATCATTTAGTAGAAGCCTTAAATATTGCAGGAGGTAGAGAGGACCGCCAGCCTATTTGAGACTCTGTGGAAGCAGTCACAGTTCTTATATCAACCTCTAGCATTTAACTTCCAAAGCACAGGCACGCCGAGAGTCCTAGGCAAAAAAAAAGGTACTGTTTACAAAGTGCAAGGACAGCTGTCTCCAATGGCTCCCATGAAGCACTCTTTAGTGAAAGTGGGTCCCTTTCCAGCCCAGCTCCCTAAGGTAGTGTCCTCCATAAACTGTCTTTAAACTGTCTAGTTTCGTCCAGGCCCTCAGCCAAGCACATGCTGAGACCTAGCAGTGACCCCTTAGTCCTTAGTTTCACAGCCATCTCTACTTCCTGTTAGTAGGGAACAGTGTTACAGGACACTGTGCAAACACACAGTGTGTCTGTATTCCATAGGCTGTTCAGCCAGTGTCGGGAGGTGTACCAAGAGTAGGCTGTGATTAGTCAGGAAGTGTGGTGGCTGAACAGACTGCACAATTCAGGCATGCTGTGTGTTTGCACAGTGTCCTGTAGCTCTTAATGGCCAGTCAAAGGAGAAAAATTGACCACATTAACACAGGTTGGCTCCTATGCTTTGTGTGGTCAGTTTAGAGCAAGGAGGAAGGGTGATGGAATGATCAATCAGGTACTTCAGATGGAAGTACATTAAAATGACAGAGACTTTGATTTATAAAATACATATACAGTATTTGAACTCAAACTATGTAAAAAAAAAATAAACGTCTAGGGTAACATACACTTTAATCTACTGTTATTCCATGGAAAGCTGGTGTTCCAAATGGTAGTCATATTCCTTTTCATTAAAATGCAGAGTAGTGTTGGGATACTTGCTTTCTGTCAATACAGCATTCCTTTACTTCTGGAGGTGCACAAATTCTCAATACCTAGTAGTAATAGGGTTTTAACACAATAAATTCAGAAATTCAGCATGGCCCAAGCAGAAACACTTCACTGTAAATGTTGTAGATAAACTGATGAAAAATAAGAGAAGTATTCTGCAGGAATTTAAAGTGCTACTTAACACTACATGGATATTACAAAACAGGACCAGGGTTAAGGTCAACATGACAGTCCCAGCAGTCACTCAATCCATATACTGTATGGATAACATGAGCCCAGGGGTGGACTGACCATTTGGAAACTTGGGCACTGCCCGAGGGCCCGGGGTCAGTAGGGGGCCCCATGAGATGCCCCTGGTACCTTTTTTCATAGGCTTTTTTGAGTTTGGGCAAGGACACACGGGCCCCATGATCCCCTATTGCCCAGGGGCCCCATGAGTTGTCAGTCCGCCCCATGAGCCCCTATGTCCCAGAGGTCCTTTGTGCAGTTGCACAAATCGTATGTCCTACCCTGTTAAGACCCCTGTGTACTGCTTTAGAAGGGAGATGAGAAAGGATGCTTAAAGGTACTTCATGGGAGTTGGGCATCTATTCATTTATTTATTTTTTATAGAAACTCCCTAAAGGACTAGTAGAAAAAGGAGAATTATGAGTTAAAGAATACGTAAACCCAACATTTCACTTTCCTGATATGTGCCTGTTGTGCCACGTACTTATAGGAAAAAGTATTCGGTTCTCTTTGTAATGCTTTGTGTAAAATGCCTGGTGTTCTTGCCAGTCCCTCTGCTTTCCTATTAAAACCTGACTACACTAGGCAGAAGAGCACAGTAACCATTAATTGGAAACTTCAGTGCTCTGTTGTTTCTGCTCCCCTAGCTCACTAAGCTCCTTATTCAGCTGAGAACAGAGTGTATGCGATCACTTATAAAATAGGAAAAATATACCTATAATGTTTTTTAATATCTATACACAAATGTTTTACAAATGTTTGTTTTACAAGGTAAAGGTTCACCTATACTTTAAGCCTAAGAAAGACACTTACTTGTAATGTAAAAGAACTGTGTTGCAAAGCTGTGTTATCACTGGGATTTTTCCCAGGATCCCTGGGGAAAGCTGAGAATGCAGTCCTGTACAAGATTTTGGATACTCAACTTTCCCGGATCCTTTGTGAAGAACCAGTGATGTCACTCTTGCCAACAGGAAATGCATAGAAGCCAAACCGAAAGGTGTTTTTTTTTACCTTTTTTCTTCCTGCTGTTCATTTTCTTCATCTTTAACTTAGCAGTTATTTAAAACTGGAGGCGAGGGGCTACCTAAGAAGCCGACCTCACATTTTCATGCAAGTAAAACACTGGTGTCAATGATACTTAAAAAGCAACAAGGTGGTGTCATAGTTGATACACCGTAGGTCTTTGCAAAATGCGTTTTGTTATTATAAATATCCATATGTCATGCTACAAATGCACATATAACTATAGCCATAGCAGTGACTGCTGTGGGATCCAGCCTCATAGAGCCACTATACTCTCCAGCTGCAAAAGGCAGCAATAGGAAATTAGTTTTGTATGAAATGAATTTACTGTATATTATATAGTTTGGATGCTCCTTAACCTCCTTGGCGGTATGATTCTTTCCGATTTTTTGTGCTGAAAGCGGTACCATTTTTTTGCATGGAAATATGTAGTTTTTTATTGTAGGCTGTAATTTTTAGAATAAATCACTGAAATCTGTACGAACAGGAGTCTATTAAACATTCGGATATGATAAAATTTGAAACACGAAATCATAAATTTATAATTTATTAAATAATCATAAAAAATAACAATATAATAATAATAAATTTAATTCAATAATATAATCAAACCAAAAACACTGAAATTTGAAATACAGAGGCAAATTCGCACATTGCTGAGCAAAGTCGCAAAATCTTTTTCAGTGTCTGATGACGAATTTCCCCACGAATCATTATAACTCAATTCTGCAAGTGGTTCTGATTTACTATCGCTGCTCTAAAACCGCTTTTGATGTAAAGGGACGCTTTTTGGACGCCATGGACTTTTCTCAGTTTCCAGGCAGAAAGAACATTCAAAATGCAGGCAGGGCACAGGACAAAGCAGTAGGGACAAAATATATGTGAAATGCATTGAAACAGCAATGACAGCAAAAATGACATTTTTAAAAAATTTCAAATTTCCCGCCGGTTCCGGCGTCCATACGTCCCGACGTCACAGGGACCGGAACACAGAAGCCGGATGCCGGCATCAGCCGGAGGAGATGGCCGGGGACGCTGCAGGGGACACATCGCGGGAGCGAAGGACAAGGTAAGTGCTGCAGGGACCCCCAGAGCAACGCCGCATGGTAAGCCCGAGTGTAGCTCGGGGTTACCGCTTTTGGTATAGAAATTTTACCCCGAGCTACACTTGGGATTACCGCTAAGGAGGTTAAAAGCTTGAGTCAAAACAATTAAATTGTGTTTAAATCCAAATACCAAAAAGTAAGATGCTGCAGCTTACAAGTCCTTAAATGCTGATTCACATGAGATGTGGTGGGACTGCGTTGGGTGGCTATTCCAATGCAGTCCTGCCACATGACAAGGTCAAGTGCCCTGTCTCCTGTGTGCCAATTTCACATCACAGTGAGCACGGTACATTGGAAAAAGTACTGCATGCAGTACTTTTCCAGCGCAGGGCAGCATGAAACATTGACTGATCTTTATGAAATGTCTGCGTGACATTTAATTAAAGTTTGTTTAAAACAAAAGGAACACTACAGTGACCCAGCCGAACTCCACTGCATACCAGCCGCTGCAATACGATTCAGTGGCCGGTGTGAATGGACCCTAAGTGTAGTGGCAGCGTTAATTTTTTTAATTCCAGGCTTTTTTCTTTTATTTTCACTTGGTGACTTTGCCGTTAACACACTTAGGATACTTTCACATTGATCCGCAGCAAAAACATAGCAAAAATGCATAGGTGTTTTTACCACACTTTTTCTGCGCTTTCTGAGTATTTTTAACCACTTCAAGTCTGGACACTTTCACCCCCTTCCAGTTCAGGCCATTTTCAGCTTTCAGTGCTATCACACTCTGAATGACAATTGCACGGTCATACAACACTGTACCCATTTGAATTTTTTAGCATTTTTTGAGACAGATAAAACTTTATTTTGGTGGTATTTATTCACCACTGGGATTTTAATTTTTTTGCTATATAAATGAAAAAGTTCAAACATTTTGAAAAAAAGTGTTTTTCTTATAAAATATTGCAAATAATTAATCGATCTTCATAAATCTTGGCCAAAATGTATTCAGCTATCTTTTTAGTAAAATAAATAACCCAAATTAGTTTATAACCAAAAATCATAATTTAAAAAAATGTTTATACATTTTTTTTTATATTACTAGTTATTTATTTTTTTTTTTAACATACTGTCACCCTAGCAGTACAGTGTCAACATAGTGACACTGTACTACTTGTGGGGGGTGATGACGTGCTTTTTTTTTCTTTCACACTGATTGCTTTTACACTCATAAAGGCTGTAAAAACAATCATTTCTTCATCTCTCTGGCTGCATTCTTGCAGCCATTGAGAAATATTGTGAGAGCTGTGATTGGTCACAGCTTGTCACATGGTACAAGGCTGTTGTGAATAGCCTTTTACCATGTGACCTCTGTGATCATTCACAGATTTCACACATGTCAGAAGTGGTTAAAGGACACGTGACTTAAAAACTGCATCAAAACGCTCCTCAGAGGAGTTTTTCAGGTGTTTTTCAGGCATTTTCCATTGATTTCAATGGGAAGAGGCATTTTTAGGGCATTTTTTTAACTCCCCAAAGATGCTGCAAGCAGGAGTTTTTACACTGCACCACAAACGCAGCGCCTCATTGTGAACACATACTGTTTTAGGGCGCTTTTTTTAACACAACGCTTGAAAAACTCCTCAGTGTGAAAGCAGCCTTACTTGCTCGGAAGACATTTCTCAACGTACTGTACAAAATAGAATGTTTTGTAGTAAAAAGTGATGGCCAAAAACAATGTAACTTATGAGCACCCAGTACATGAATTCATCAGATCACAAGGTTGGCAACAGGTATTTTTTAGCACTTGTTGAAAAGAAATACAAAAACATTTTCAGTTGTATGTTTAACTAGCTGCCGACCGCAGATAGCCGAATGACGGCTGCACTGCGGCCGGCCAGTTCTGAGTGGACGTCATATGACGTCCTCCCAGAACGCGCTCTCCTGCGCACCCCAGGGGGCGCGCACCCGGCAATCTCCGTAATCGCTGTGTCCTATGGACACAGCTGATCACGTGATGTGGTAAAAGGCCAATCACGGCGGCCTTTTACCACGTGATCAGCGGTGTCCAATGACACGCTGATCAGAGGGAAATGCAAGTGCCGGTTCTCGGCTGCACTTTCCTCATGCTGTCAGATCGTGAGGAAAGTACTGCCGAGAACCGGCAGTTGTCAGAGCGGGGATCGGCACCGATCATCAGGGCACTGATGATCAGTGCCCTGATGATCGGTGCCCAGCAGTGCCACCCGCAAGTTCCACCCAGCAGTGTGCCCACTAGCTCCGCCCACCCGTGCCCAGCAGATCACCCACCCGTGCCCAGCAGTGCACCCACCTGTGCCCAGCAGTGCACCCACCTGCGCCCAGAAGTGCCACCTACCTGTGCCCAGCAGTGCCACCCACCTGTGCCCACCCACCTGTGCCCACCAGTGCCACCCACCTGTGCCCACCCACCAGTGCTGCCCACCAGTGCCATCCACCAGTGCAGCCCAGCAGTGCTGCCAGTCAGTGCCACCAGTCAGTGCCCAGCAGTGATGCCAGTCAGTGCCGTCTATCAGTACCCATAATCAGTGTCACCTATCAGTGCCGCCTATCAGTGCTGCATATTAGTGCCGCCTATCCGTGACACCTCATTAGTGCTGTCTATCAGTGCCGCCTATCCGTGCCACCTCATTAGTACTGCCTATCAGTGCCCTTTAGTGCTGCCTATCAGTGCCCATCAGTGCCGCCTATCAGTGCCAATCAGTGCTGCCTCATCAACGCACATCAGTGAAGGAGAAAAAATACCTGTTTGAAAAATTTTATAAAAGAAACAAAGAAACTTTTTTTTTTTTTTTCAAATTTTTTGCACTTTTTTTATTTATAGCGCAAAAAGTAAAGCGCCCAGTGGCGATTAAATACCACCAAAAGAAAGCTCTATTTGTGAGGAAAAAAATGATCAAAATTTCATACGGGTACAATGTTGCATGACCGCGCAATTGTCAATCAAAGTGCGGCAGCGCTGAAAGCTGAAAATTGGCCTGGTAAATAAGGGGGTATAAGTGCCTGGTAGGCAAGTGGTTAACA